AGGATATACATGCACCTCCTATGAAAGGACTATGCTGATGTAGAAGACAGGACTTTCTAGATACTGAGACCTAGGCTATGTCACCTGGCTCTACAACTAACATTGTGACTCTGGGTAAGTTGCTTAAACTCTCTGAATCAGATTCCATGGGTGATTACATCTGTAATTGCTGCAGGTGAGACAGGATGGTTATGAGAGTCACACACTCAAATGCAGGCCTGGTGCACAGTAACTGCCCACTGTGACGCTGCTCCATGCCGCAGGGACCAGATTTGTCTTGTCCATGACTCCACCCTCCTCCCCAGGTGGTGACTGTCTGCTCTGGTCACTAATAAACGGTGGCTGTGGAATGGGTGGCTTTCATAACCAGTCACCTCTGCCTTCAAGGTCACTCCATGGCTCCTCGCTGGTCAGTGAGCATCTCTGGTTCTCGAGTCCCCAGCTTCTCTTCAGGTGCTTTTGTTCTTATGCTTTAGGTCCAGCTGACTCCCTGAGCCCAGTGCACAGCACAGAGTCACCTATAATCACCCCTCATGTATTCAGCTCCCGTCCCTTTGTTCAAACGGTCCAATCAGGTTCCAACTCATACACTCCACTGACTGCGAACACCACTGCCAAACCCAGTGGTCACTTCTCTGTATGTTCTCACTTCCCTGCCTCCTTGAAGTTCTCACCACACCTGGCCACTCCCTCCTGGAAAAATCTACTTCCCCTCACTGCCCTGCATCACCTTCTCTTGGTTTTCCTCAACACACTGCACCCTTCTCAGTGTCCCCTGGGCTCAACCCTTGGCATCTTATTGTTCTCTCTCTCTCTCTCTCTCTCTCTCTCTCTCTCTCTTACTCAACTTACCTGGAATTTAACACAGCACATGTGTCAATGACACAAACACAAACAACTCCTGCCCTGACCAGCCCTGAACTCGAGGCTCCTGCATTCAACTGACCTCTTAGCAGCTCCACACAAATGTCAAAAAATCATTTAAACTTACACAAAACCTTTATTCCTAACCACTCACTTCAAATAATTTCGTACACAGTCTTTCCTATTTCAATAAAGAGCTCCACCAAATTTAATAAAAGTATCTCTCTCTCTCTCTATATATAAAAGCCTAAATGACCATTACGATTGAACAACTGAAAGACCGCAATGACCGGTCGACCAGTCACTTTGATGTGCACTGACCACCAAGGGGCAGATGCTCAATGCAGGAGCTGCCTCCTGGTGGTCAGTGCACTCCCACAGCCAACATCCCAAGGCCAGCCAACCTCCTGTGGTCCCGTCTCTCATCCCTCCCCCGATCCAGCAGGCCCTGTACAGCAGCCACAGGCCCAATTGGGACTGGGCGAGACAGCTCTCATAGGCCCGGATTGCCCTCCAGGCCTAGAGACCCCACCCGTGCAAGATTTCATGCACCTGGGTTCGAGCTCATTAACAAGTCGTGGAAATATCTCCCCCAGATCTGCTCACTTCCCCTTTCCCGCTGCCTTTGCCGCACACACTAACTGAAGCCCAAGCCTGTCACCTGGGCACTCTTCCATGCTCCTCAGAGTCACCTGTAATCATCTAATCCCCCCTGGTAGCTGGGATTATTTTTTAATAAATACACGTGGGCTCTCCTGTAACCCTCAGCAGTTCATATGTCTCTTCAGATAAAATTTAAACTTCTTACCCGCCCGTCAGGGCTCAATATGATTTGTCTCCCGACTTTCCCAGCCTCTTCCCATGTCAATGTCACTCCCCAGCTTGCTCGCCTGCTGCAGCCTCGCTAGTGAGCCTTCCTCCTGCCCCTTCAACTCGGCGAACACGTTCTCAGACTGTGGCCTCTCCCTCTCCCTCTCCCTGGGACACTTGTCCCCTAGATCTTCACAGGGGGTGTCTCTCATTATCGGGGTCTCAAGTGTCACTTCCTCAGGGACAGCTCCCTAACCACTTGAACTGACGGCCTGTAACCCTGGAGTATTTTTTTTCCAAAGCAATTATTGCTCTGAGTGTTTTCTTTCTTAAGGGGCTCAGGGGAAAGGAGAGGAGTTGCTGGTGAGGCCCCTTGGTACATCTCACATAGTAGGGAGAGGCACCAACATCACAGATTCTGCTGAGGCCATAACACAGGGTCCTCAAAGAGAGACCCGCTAATTCCTTTGACTCCCCATAAAATGCCAGAGAAACATTCCTTTGGGGGATAAGTCAATACAATAAATGGAGCACTTGGTGGGAATCAGTCTGAAATCATTATTTCTCAATCCACTCAAGACCCCGATGGAAGGGGATATGAGGCTGGGGAGGCTTGCTGGAGGTGAGGTGAGAAGAATGGAGTCCCTTGAACATCTCATAGAGGGAGGAACCAGCACCTTTTGTGGTGGAAAGAATCAGGACCCATATAGTAAAGGTAGGTGGCCACTGAAGAAAATGCCATCATTTTCTAAGGGACATGGCCTGGACACAGTGACAAAGCTAATTCCCTTTCTTCCTCCCCCACAACAGCTCACCCCCAAGGTGCACTTACGTGGTGTGTCCCTGGCCTGAGCCAGGGGAGGGCACAGGGCCCCCAGAGTGTCCAGCG